GCCCCTAAAAACCCCCCCCTCCCTGAAAGCGGGGCCCCAAAGTCCAGAGTCTGTCAGGGGTTCCCTGAAACGGCCCCCCATTGCTGTGTTTTCCATCGCCAAAACCGCCATGTGCCACTTTCAGGTCTACTCACACACTGCTGGTGTGTTGAATTTTTTGAACATAGGGTGCTGGCTGATTACGGTCCCCCCATGATCTGCGCCAGCCCCTAATCCTGCCATTGGCCCCTATATAACGTGCCTCTCATGCTGCTGGCCAGGTCCAGAGTTCTGTCATGTTCCCTGTAAACGGCCCTCCCATTGCTTGCTGTCTCCATCGCCACACTCAGCCATGTGCCACTTTCAGGTCTCCTCACACACGCTGGTGTGTTGACTTTTTGACATAGGGTGCTTGCAGATTAATACGGGCCTCCCATAGCTGCTGCCAGGCCCCTAATCCTGCCATGGGCCACCTATATACTGGCGCCATCCTCAATGCTGCAATAGCCGAGTCGTCCCAGAGTCTGTCATGGGTCCCAAGTTACGCGGCCTACCTTCCCATTTGCTGCTGTCTCCAATCGCCACACTCTGCACATTGTGCCACATTCAGGTCACCTCACGACAATGCTGGTTGTGTTTTATGCCTGTGAATATATTGTCTTAGGCGTTCGATGGCGAGATTACGGGCACTCCCGATAGCTGCCTTGCCAGGCCCCTAATCTTGCCATGGGCCCCTATACATCCTGCTCGTCCCTCATGCTTGCTCGCCAGGTACAGATAGTCTGTCATCGGGTCACGGTGACGGCATCACATTGCTGCTGTTCTCCATCGCTCACACTTCTGCCACTGTGTCCACCATTTCCAGGTCTCCTCGACAACACTGCTGGTGTGTTGAATTTTTTGTACATAGGGTTGCTGGCTGATTACGGGTCCTCCCATAGGCTGCTGCCAGGCCCCTAATCTGCCATGGGCCCCTATAATACCGCCTCCTCATGCTGCTGCCCAGTCCAGAAGTCTGTCCATGGGTCCCCTGTACGGTCCTCCCATTTGCTTGCTGTCTCCATCGCCTACACTCTGCCATGATGTGCCATACTTTCCAGGTACTCCTCACACACTGCTGGTGTGTTGTATTTTTTTGTCATAGGGTGCTTGCAGATTACGGGCCTCCTAATATCTGCTGCCAAGGGCCCCTATCTTTTAACTGGCCATGGGCCCCTATACACCGCCTCCTCATGGCCGGGCTGACCAGGTCCAGAGTCTCTCATGGGTCCCTGTACGGCCTCCATTGCTGCTGTCTCCATCGCCACACTGCTGCCTGTGCCACTTTCAGGTCTCCATCACACACTGCTGGTGTGTTCCGATTATTTGTTCATAGGGTGCTGGCAGATTACGGGCCTCCCATTGCTAGCTGCCAAGGCCTGTAATCTGCCATGGGCCCCCGTACCGCCTGGTCACGCTGCTTGCTGGGTCCACAGTGTGACATGGGTCCCTATATAACCGCCTCCCATTGCTCCACTCTGCCATGGTTTGCCACTTTCAGGTCTCCTCACACTCCTGTGGTTTCCATTTTTGAGGTCTCCTCACGCTCCTGCTGGTTTCCATTTTGTCATAGGTTGCTGTATGGCCTCACATTGCTGCTGCCTCCACCGCCACACTGTGGCTCCAAACACTGGTTTTGGCCCCGTGACTGGCCAAATGAGTGAAGTGTGCGGTGATTTTAAGATCGACGGCACTCATCTGCATGTCATACTGACTGACAGTATTATTTCTCTTCCTCAGCAGACTCCAAGGGCATTTAAATTAAAGGTACAGTGTTCTGCACTAATATTAAGTCTCTCTGAAGCCTAGAAACACCCTTTTTTTTAAGTTAAATTCACAGCGAATATATTCGACTCGAATCGAATATTGTCCACGAATTCGCCGAATCAGTCGAATCGAATTTTTGAATACTTCGCTCATCTCTAGTATATATGTTTTGTGTATGTATTTATTACATTGCCACTGTTAATCCATTTAGGATCTTTCTTTCTATGTATATTTATCAGAGCTCCACTTTTAACTGTAAGGGGGAATCCTGCAGACTCTGATGTAAAGGGGAATGCTGCAGATCATGATGTAAGAGGGAATGCTGCAGACTTTGGTGTAAAAGGGAACTCTGATGTAAGGGGGGCTGGTGACCAGAGACCATCTTATATCAGAGACCACTGCGTTCCCCTTTACATTAGAGTTTTCACTTACATCAGGGTCTGCAGAGGAGGAATCTTGAACACTCTAATGTAAAGGGGAATGCTGGGAACTCTGATGTGGGGGGGCACTGGTGACCACAGACCACCTTCCGCAGAGTGAATACACTAAGGTAAGGGGGGATACTGATATGGTTTAACCTTCACATCAGTGTCCCCCTTACATTACTGTATTCACCCCCCCCCCCCCCCGACTGGCCTTGCGGCACTCTCACTGACTTCTTCTCAGGTGCACCATGCAGGACTGTCCTCTACGGGCTCCAGCTTGGTGGCTCTGGTTTCATCCTTTATTCTTCTCTCTACAGTCCACACATGTCTGATTCCTCCTGTGACCCCTGTCCTGGTGTCACTCCTGCTCTTGACCCCTCTCCAGGCTTCCCCTCAGAGACTGCACACATGATACAAGACAAGAGATGGTCAGAGATTGTGGACACGATACAGGAGATGGTTAGAGGCTGTGGACATGATACAAGGAGATAGTCAAAGATTGCAGACATAATAATAGAGATGGTTAAATGCTGCGGACAGGATACAAGAGATGGTTATGGGCTGCAGACATGATACAAGAGATGGTTAAAGGCTGTGAACAGGATACAGGAGATGGTTAAAGGCTGTGGATAGGATACAGGAGATGGTAAGAGGCTGCAGAGAGAACACAGGAGATGGTCAGAGACTGCGGACAAGATACAAGAGATGGTCAGAGGCTGCGGACAAGATAGAGGAGATGGTTAGAGGCTGCAGACAGGATACAGGAGATGGTCAGAGGCTGAGGACATGATAGAGGAGATGGTTAGAGGCTGCGGACAGGCTATAGGAGATGGTTAGAAGTTGTGGATAGGATACAGAAGATGGTTAGAGGCCACAGACAGAATACAGGAGATGGTTAGAGGCTGCAGACAAAATACAGGAGATGGTCAGGGGCTGCGGATATGATACAAGAGATGGTTAGAGGCTGCGGACATAATAGAGGAGATGGTTAGAGGCTGCGGACATGATAGATAGAGGAGATGGTTAGAGGCTGCGGACATGATAGAGGAGATGGTTAGAGGCTGCAGACATGATAGAGGAGATAGTTAGAGGCTACGGATATGATAGAGGAGATGGTTAGAGCTGCAGACAGGATACAGGAGATGGTCTGAAGTTTTGGACAGGATGCAGAAGATGGTTAGAGGCTGCGGACAGGATACAGGGGATAGTTAGAGGCTGTGGACAGGATACAGAAGATGGTTAGAGGCTGTGGACAGGATACAGGGGATAGTAAGAGGCTGTGGACAGGATACAGGAGATGGTTAAAGGCTGTGGACATTTTACAAGAGATGGTTAGAGGCTGCGGACAGAATACAGGAAATGGTCAGAAACTGCGGACAGGATATAAAGAGATGGTTAAAAGCTGTGGACAAGATACAGGAGATTGTGGACATCTGTTATTCTTTAAAATCTTACCAGGCACTGCCGCTCTTGTCTGGGAAATGCTGTGTGGCCGTGCTTACAGTAGCATGATGGTGGGAGTCCCCACAGGCTCCAGCCATGGATCCGACTGCCGTCCATTTAAAAATGGCGCTAGGCGCCATGATGTCACTGACTCATTGCGCATGTGCCAACCCGGACAAAAATGGATCAGCATGTTCGAGCTTGCCTGCTTTGTCAGTTTTGAAGCAAGTGCTGTTCTAATGTTGGCCCACAGACATATTTTTTACGGGTGGTGGCTGTCCGTAACTGACATTTATGGTCAGCCTGTAATGGGTTGAAATTTATGGACTGTTTGCAACCCTGCTTAAGTCTCTCCTGCCCATAAACACAGAGAGCATGTCTCGGCCCCTCCCATACCCCCCTCCCTACTGTGATTGGCACCTGCTGCTGTGTCTGAGCCAATGAGGAGGGAGAGAGCTGAGAGAGCCTCTGCTCTCGTGTACATTGCTGGACTGAGATCAGGCTCAGGTAAGTATAAGGTGGGGAAGCTGCACAGTGAAGGTAAAAAACCTTCAGCCTTTTTCATTTGAGTTTGTATTGGCAGATATAACTCTATTAATGCTCTCATTCCTAAATATTTATTTTGAATGCAGTAATCTAGAGTAACCAGTCCAAATTCTCTGTGCTGAAGTCACAGCAGGCATATGCTGATTGGTTGCCATGGAGAACTGCTTGGAAGAATTATCATTTACATAGAATACATTTATTGAAAAAAATCAATACTTTTGTGCTTTATCCTTCAAGTAATCATGATACTTTTTTTCAGGAAAAGTCTTTGTTGTACTCCAGCTGTCATTAACAATTACAGGAGTTTTGACATCACTTGTATTCAACAAGATCTACCAAGCCACTTTAACCTCATTCAATGGAACTTGCTTTATTATATCAGGCATCCTTTCCATTCTGAGCCTCATCCCTATCAGGTGAGCACTACACATACTATATGGCCTTTTATTCTAGCTCTTCTAGTAATTAAATCATCAAAGTTTAGTGGTGATTTATTCAAGCACTACTTTTAATTGTACATAACAAGCATTTACCATACCTTAGAAAGAAATATTTTAGGGGTGTTCTGTACACTTTGGGTGTACAAATGCTTCCAGGTGGCCATATTATCAGGAAAATAAGTTTAAAAAGATAAAACACTTTTCTAAAACATCACAGCAGCTGATTAAAGTATTTTGTGAATACATTAATTACAAGATGGCTTGTATAGCACTACAGATGTTACCACAGAGTTTTACTGTAGTAACTGGACTGTAGTAACTGGAGTTTTTACTGTAGTTTACTGGACTTCTCTTATTTGCTCTGTTTAACATACCATTAAAATGTTATGTTATATTTGTTTATACATGTAGATTGTGTCAGAAATTCAGACACATGCATGTGTCACATGCATGTTTCTGTGTTGTCTCAAGGAGTCCTCCCAATTTTTATCATGGACTACAGAGGAATTACTCCCTATGTTGTGGTAATGAGAAGAAATAGGAGGAGATCAGTAGTTAACAACAGACGACTGACACCAAACCTTGCAATTTCAGTCCACAAAAAGGCGCATGGGGGTTTATTTATTAAAGCTGGACAGTGCAAACTTAGGCTCACTTTTACATAGAAACCAATCAGCTTTCAGGTTTTATTGCCAAAGCTTAATTGAACAAGCTGAGGTTAGAAGTTGATTGGTTTCTTTGCAGAAGTGAGCCTGATTTTGCACTCTCCAGCTTTACTAAATAACTCCCATGGTGTCAGTCCACAAGAGGAAATTAGGTGCTCAGTGCATTTCTAGCAGATCAACAGGCTTTCTGTACTTGAATGGTCAATAAAAGGATCAACCATGGGGAAATGTACATTTATTGCAGAGCACTGGATAGTTTTTTTTCTCTTTTGCGCCAACATGCACTTTCATATACATGTGTCAAGCATTTACTAAACATTTGACAAGGATCTCCAGTGAGCTTGGCCAAATAACCTTCCAGATTACTAATAGACCTGATCTGAGGGGCACTTAAAGTGTTACTAAACCCCAGACACTGCATTCACTATATCTGGTCTCCCACAGTACACAGAACATGGAAATGCAATTATTTTAGTAAATATAAACTTCCAAATACCTTTTCTCATCAGCACTTAGAGCAGTCTTGTGACTTCTATCAGTGTCCAGCAGAGCACTGGTTAAAGCTTGTAGGAGGAGTTTTCATTCTACCCCTGATTGTCCTATGAGGCTATATAACCCCTGACTCTCTGTCTGGACAGCGCTGATTGGCCCTGTGCTGATCACATGCACTTTCCCAAGGAAGAAAAAAAAAACTCTCAAGCAATACACACCAAACTGAGCATGTGCAGCTTGCCAGCAAGGCTCTGTTCAGCAGATGGATTGGGGACAGTGGAAGAAAGGGAGGATCAGAGAAGACAGGATCAAACTGCCTTTTTTATCCAATGCATAGGATTAGCCCTTTAGGTTCCATAGTGAGTCTAATAAGCATACTTTACTGCACGTACAGACTGATTTTATTGTTGTGGCTTTAGTAACGCTTTAAGTGGCTACAGGAAAGCTGCTTGATACTTTTTTCTCTTTCAATTAAGTTTTATTAAAACACGTATTGTTTGCCTCTGTGTCCGTGCACATTAGGGAGTTTACAGGCATATTTTCAGAGGAGAGGCAAAAAAAAAACTCCTTCAGAATAGCGTTTTTGGCCAGAAAAAAAAATGCTCATAAAAACACATTAACACACCTAAACGCTCATAAATACAGCATTTAGGAGTGTTCGGTGTTTTCAAGTGTACATTAAAAAATTAGCAGGGAATGTTTTGGATAAAAAAGCTCTTATAAAAGCAAATGCCCATAAATTCTTATAAATCCTTGTGCAATACGAGCCACTATGTACATTTTTATGCTGCTTTTTCTGCCAGAGGTTCTGGTATTTTTTCTGCCCCTAGTGTGCATGGACGTTTATGCTCACGACCTATATAAAAATGAACCCCTGGAACACTGTTGATACATGTCTTAGCTGTATATAACTTTTTGGGTCCATGCACACTGGGCATAAAAAATGTTACTTATATAGGCATTTTGTGTTTTTTAATTCAGCGTGTACAAGCATGTATTGGGGTTCACTAAAA